TCAACAGTGCAAGAAATGGTGATGATTTGGTTAAAATTTTATAAACCACAGAGATACAAAATAAAAGAAAAATTGAAATTTTAATGTCAGGCAGTAGGTTTTAATTTAATAAGCTACTGTGTTTTTAGGTGAAAACCAATTAAAATTATAATTGCATTATAAATTTGAAATTGTAATGAAGGAAATAGCTTTTAATATAAACACATTAACATCAATAAAAAAAAAATTCCCACTCCAATTAGGCCTCAAAATATTTGTTCTATAGGTGGAACTCAGAGATACAATTAACAAAAACATTTAGAATAAATAGCTGAATAGAAAACCTAATTTCTAATTCATAGTTAGCTGACAATTGTATAGTAGTTTGAAAAAAGCTCTTCTCCTTGTTTGATGTCCCTGAGTGCTACAAGAATGACACATCGAAGTGGGCTGAGGACAAAAAGAATACACAAAAGTTAGAAGTATTAACAAATCCAAGCTCATATTTTTAATACAACCAATTTAGCTGTTATAGACATAATTTTATTCAAATTTTTTACTACTGTCTTAGCTATTTGATTTCCATGAAGAAATAGTTCTTATCCCTGATGGAGACCACAAATCAGTAAGTTTAAAAAAAACATTTTTTTTTAACATTTATTTTTGAGAGACAGAGCATGAGCAGGGGGGAGGCAGAGAGAGAAGGAGACACAATCCAAAGCAGGCTCCAGGCTTTGAGGTGTCAGCATTGAGCCCAATGCTGGGTTCGAACCCACGAACTGTGAGATCATGACCTGAGCCGACGTCAGACGCTTAACTGTCACTTAACCGACTGAGCCACCCAGTTGCCCCTGTGGTTTAACATTTTAAAATTAATTTGTATCTTTGTATTCTGCAAAGATGAAAACATTACTTAAAATTAATTGGGATTAAAAAAATACTTTTATGAACACCGTAAGACATAAGTAACCTTCAATGTTCCTACTCAGTTAACTTTTCCTGTACTTGTTGAACAGTAGTGATATTATGCTCCAGAGCATATAGCTAAAAAAAAAAACCCAAATGTTACATACACACACATAGAGACAGAGTATGTATCAAGTACAGAGAATAGTCAAAGTTTGTTGTGTTTTTAGACAGAGTAGGAGTCGGGGAGAAGGGAAGGGGGGAGAGGGGGGGGGGAAGAGAGAGAGAGAGAGAGAGAGAGAGAGAGAGAGAGAGAGAGAGAGAGAGAGAGAGAATCTTAAGCAGGCTCTATACTCAGTGTGAAGCCCAACGAGGGGCTTGATTCCATAACCCTGGGATCATGACCTGAGCTGAAACTGAAAGTTGGACGCTCAACCAACTGAGCCACCCAGGTGCCCCCAAAGAACAGTCTAAGTTTTAAATCTCTTTCATCTTAAAAGGACAATTTAATGGGGCCCATAAAAAATAAAGTTTGCTAGCACCTGGCAGCTCAGTGACATGACATAAAGATTATATTTTCCTATAGCACTGTTGATAAAGAACTCTACAGAATTACTTACATTTAGAAATTGTTACTTGAACACTTTCAGACTTTCCACTTATTGAATAGAAATGTTACATTAATAATATGTATTTTCTGAATATTTCCTCTTTTTTTTTAATGTTTATTTTTTTGAGAGAGAAAGAGAGAGAGACAGTGTGAGTCGGGGAGGAGCAGGGAGAGAGGTAGACACAGAATCCAAAGCAGGCTCCACGCTCTGAGCTGTCAGCACAGAGTCTAACACGGGGCCCAAACCCATGAACTGTGAGCCAAAAGTCAGGCACTTAACTGACTGAGCCACCCAGGTGCCCCTGAATATTTCATTTTTCATTAAGTTTCCAAACGGAATAGTGAAATGAGCAAAAGAAAGAATAGTGTAATTTAGCCTTTTTCTTCAACTGGGTGTTCTCAAGTGAGATGAAGAACATAATGCTTAAAATGATTAAAAAATGTATTTGAAGATTTTGTAAGTAGAAAAGTAACAATGAATCACTTGAAAAAAATTTTAAGGTTGATACTTATAAAGGACTACATAGAACGAAAATGGGTAATAAGCAGAATGAGCTAAGTTAATGAAAAATATTAAACTTCAAATGAGCCTACATTAATACATTAAGGTATGATGAAAATCAAAATTTAAGTTATAATTTTTTCCTAAGAGAAATTATTCCAAGTTCTGTATAGCTTTTTCTTGGAATATATATATATTTAAAAAAAATTTTTTTTAAGTTTATGTATTTATTTTGAGAGAGGACACACAAGAGAGGCAGGGGTGGGGGGCGGTGAGAGAGAGAATCCCAAGCAGGTCCACATTGTCAGTGCAGAGCCCTATGTGGGGCTCGAACCCACAAACCGTGAGATCATGACCTGAGCTGAGATCAAGAGCCAGATGCTCAACCAACTGAGCCACCCAGGCACCCTCGAATATACATGTTTTTTGAGTACAGCAGAACACAAGGGATAGGAAAAGACTAACCTTTGTTTGTCACAGCTGTAGGCAATGTTTGGAAGATACTGTTTTAGCTCTATAGGAAAAACTGCAGGCACATCAAATTCCTGGTAACAGACATTAGCGGCTCTGTCTAGGAACAAGTATATAATTTTTAGAAATAGCCATTTTAAAAAAGGTCATGGAAAACAGAACTGAATTTTAACACTTGATGCATGTTTTTCTAAATTATTAGAACATTTTCAAATTAATAATCACTATTACCTTCCAGGCATTACTAGATTATGTATGTTTTATTATTTACTTTTTGAAGATCAGAAAACAGAGACCCAGAAAGATTGAAGGTTACGTAGAAAAGTCAGGTTTCAAGTTCATATCTCCCTAACACCAAAATCTATGCTAAATGTAGGCGAGATCAAACTTATATTTTTAGGAAAGTCAAGCCTTAGAGAAGGTAAGTGATTCACAAAAGTAGCAACAGAAAGGGGATACCAGTCTAGTTTAACCTACAAGGTTCTACTGAGGCTCTGACAAAATGATCTCTAATGCTCTCTTTTTTTAACTATTAAAAAATGCTAAAATAATAATGATCAAAGGAGCATTTATCAGTTACCTATATTTACTGAAAAACCAGAAGAAAAATAGTAAATTAAAGAATTCCAATTAATGTATATCATTATTTCCCCAACTTCTTTAATATCTGCCTTCTCAGCATTACAATTTACAGGCTTTGAAAAGCTGAGATGTTAAATTTAACTGCCTCTGGCACTCAGTCATATAGCAAAGGAGGAAAATTACTACTGCTATATTTATATCTTGTCTCACAGACCCATAATGTCAACTTACCATTTGAACAATTGTTGACATACTGTCCTACAGCAAGTGGATTACAAATTTCTGATGTTAGCCATGTACTGTCACTCATTTTTAAAGGACCAAGTTGATCCCTCCCATTGCAAGATCTGAAACAGGTGAAAGCATTAGGTAAGAGATTGTTCTTTTATGTCTTACAGTAAAATCCAAAAGTACAAAATTAATCCTAGAACTGAACAAATCCAATTTCTCTTAAAAAGTTTTGTCTAGTCTGGGATGCCTGGGTGGTTCAGTTGTTAGCCCACTGCCTAGTCATGATCAGTCCCTGAGTTCGAGCCCCGGGTCGGGCTCTGTGCTGACAGACAGCTTGGAGCCTGGAGCCTGCTTCAGATTCTGTGTCTCCCTCTCTCTGACCCTCCCCCGTTCATGCTCTGTCCTTCTCTGTCTCAAAAATAAATAAAAAAAAAAAAATTAAAAAAAAGTTTTGTCTAGTCAATAGGGCAGCTGAGTTGCCACTTAGCAGCTGTCTAAAGAGATTTTTATTTAAAGTGAAAAGGCCAGGGTCATGGTCATTTTCCTGTGGCTCTGTGTCCTATCGTTATGTTTGAACATGGGCACTAACTTACCTGTATACGACTTTTGATATTCCTTTGTCATTTCCATCAATAAGTACCCCATCCAGGCATCTAAAAATAAATGGATTTCCAATGGATTGGAAAAAGATTGGCTCATACTTCTGATATACTGTACCTATTATATGATAAGGACATAGCAATATGTAAAAATTATTAACATCATGATAAGCACCTCTCTCTGGAAAATAAACATAACATGAAATGAACTATTTTATTTTCTCTACCTTTTTCTAATATTTTACTCCAGTCTAGATTATCACATTCTCTTTGGCTACTTCTTCCCTTTAAAGAGTGTCCAAAAGTAAATGGAGCAGAGAATCAACTTGTTCACATAGCCAAATAAAATGTGACTATTTTGATTAATTAAAATGTGAACACCATATTTGAGATTCAGCTTTACAAAATTATAGGGGCTTTTTGTTTTGTTTTGTTTTTGCTTTTTAAAGTAGAGTGTTATTTGACATCCATTAAAAAGTCTTTTGGGTTCCTGGGTGGCTCAGTGGTTAAGCATCGAGCTTCAGCCCAGGTCATGATCTCACAGTAGTGAGTTCGAGTTCCACATCGGTCAACTCGAGCCCTGCTTTGCCTCAGGGTGAGCTCGAGCCCTGCTTCAGGTGAGCTTGGTTTCTCTCTGCCCCTCACTGACTTGCGCCCTCTCTCTCTCAAAAAAAAAAAAAAAAAAAAAAAAAAAAAAAAAAGTCTTTTAAGAAATGTATTTGTTAATAACCAGTTAAATAATGTAGACAAAATGGGAATAAATGAATCTGATATTCAGGTTGTTTCCCCTTTCGCTAGCAGTAGAGGAAAGGAGAAAATTAGTATTTACTGAGTGTGTCCTATGTTACTGGCATCCTAATCTATTAAATTTATTCTAGTATTAATTTGTTGCCAGCTTGTTCTATTTAGCCTTTACAGAGGTTACTTGTGTAGGAGGAAACCAACTCTTTTGCTTAGGGATGTAAAATTAGAAAACAGAATGACTTTTTGAAAACATGTCTGAATTAAACATTTACAAATAATGTAATCTTAGTTTAACAAATAACATACCCTACTAAGCATTCTAGTCAATGATCTTTTTGCAAAGAAGCTGCTTTACTTTCAAAGTGTAGAAATGGCAGGAAGGTATTTATTGATTTACAGGTTTAAACTGTCATACCTGTTTTAACCCGTACTATTTTTACCTGCCAACTGACTTATTCTCTAGTGCTTTCTAAGTAATTCATCTTATCAAAGTAGGCCATACTATATTCTACATTTAAACACTGACTACAAAAATTTTCTTAAAAGAAAAGTGCTTTTATTCAAATAAATACTCAAGGATGCTTTCTAGCACATAAAATAATTTGTAGTTATTTTCGAAATCAGGATTTACAAATGTGTGGAAATCTCAATTTCTAATTCAACTCCTTACTCAAAGGATTATAAGAGTAAGTATTTTGTTGGACTTATATTAACTGATAAATAGGAAACTCTTGGCAAAGCACTAATTGTGTCATTACCAGGATACATAGCTACAACCGCGCCTTTTGGTACCAATCCTCTGGTAACGAAGACACCTTTTCCAGCAGAAATCAATGAGCTAGTTGCTCGGGCAACACTGAAACCCAGTGTCTTATAAAGAATTTCTTCTGGTTTAAAGATATTTTGCTGTTGATGTCTGTATTCAAGCAGTTTCACCCTTGGATGTTGAACTGACAGTAGGTCATGATATTTTGATTTAACGGTTTCTGGAAACATAGTCAAGATATCTGATTGCTTATTGAAATCATTAATGAACAGAGCCTGGAAAACTTTCAGTAATGTTCCTAGGACATCTTCATCTGAGATAACTTTGTCTTTGGATTCCTCTGGAACATATCGGACGGTCCTGAAAACAGGAAAAGTTTCCATTCACTACCCTTCAAGTGATAAAAGTCAGGCTTCATGCCTTCATGCCTTCTAAGTTACTGGGCTTAATGATGATTATTCTCATGTGTTTGAAGGGCATAAAACTAAAAAGTTCAAGAAAGAATTGTTTGGGGATAGTTCTAGTTCGCTAACTCCTGGCAATCCCTACCCAAGTTACAAATAGCCGGTTATCTGTGAAAAGTCTATCTGTACCAAATGCTGTTGGGTCCTTACATTCATTATCTCATCTTTGCAGACAGGGAAACTGAGGCTTGACGTTGGGGTGCTTGCCCAAGATCCTAAAGCTGTTAAGCTGGAAAGCCACAGCTCAAACAGAACTAGTTCTTCTTCCTACTACATCCATGGCCATTATGTGAATATCGCATAAGAATCCTCATATATTTTATAGGCATTTAATTACAAAGACAAATTTAACATATACTTTGTCACATTCTCTCCCGGGAATACTTACTTCTTTAATGGCTGCATCATTTTTACTCGCATAATGGTATTATTTTTTACTTCTTGACAAAAAGAAAGCCATTCCGCCTCACAATTCTATAGCAACGGTGGCCCTGAATTCACGTTTCCGCGGAATCAAACTTTGGAAAAGCTCTTCGGTTATTAACTGGCCTTCAGTGGAGCTAGCTTTGCCTATTTAAGTGAGCATTATTACGTGAGCTTCTTCACGATGGCTACTATGCCACTTACTAGAGCCGGAATTAACAGTGACTCCACCGCCACCCACTCAACTAGATCCCTTTCTTCAGGCATGGACTATTCTAAACCCCACATTCGGACGTGTTTTTAGTGACATTTTGCCCGTTTTTCTACGTCAGCAAGTTGTTATCCTCACATCCAAGCCGGGCTGCTTTCACCATATAAACTATGGAGCTATGAAAATAAACCTCAGTTTGGCTTTTCTAAGGAACTTTGAAGTATGCCCTGGCGGAGAGAAGGCCATGCACCCTCACGCTGTATACACTTTGCTCTTTTTCAAAAGTTTCTATTTTTTGCCCGGACAGAAACGCCCGTCAGCGAAGACCTCTAAAGAAGAGCACGAGCCGCACTGCCCGTGAGGGACGCCCGCCTCACAGACCTCACAGCGCGGGGTACTCTGGGAGAGTAGGCCTCAGGTCCCACCCTCCTAAGGCTCCCCACGGTCTTCGGTATCCCAGCTGTCCTCCGACTCCACCAGCCTCGGCTTCGCCCACTTCAGGCCCCGCCCCACCTCAGGTTCTGCTCGCTACGGGCCCGCCCACCTCGGGCCCCAGGGTCGCCTGAGGCTCCGCCCACCAGAGACCGCCGTTTAAAGCGCTTTTCGCCGGAGGTTCCGCCCACTTAGGGCCCACATGCCTCCAGTTCAGCGGCTCTGGTGGCGTCGTGGGGCTGAAAGAAGACGTCCCTGGTCTGTCGGCCTCGCCCTCTCACCTCGGGTTGTGGTTTAGGTTCAGCGCGATCCAAGGAACGAAGCGGTACTTGTAACGACGCCATCGCTGCCACAGGCCCCGCAGCAGGCGGCCCGGCATGGCCGTCCCGCGGCGCTGTAACGAGGACAGCGCCGGAGAGGTGGGTCACAGTCTCGGGCCCGCCCTGGTCCGGGGAGGAGCGGAGGCCACGCCGTCCCGCCCCTCTTGGGTCTCCGCCTTCAGTGCCTTGCTCCTTTGCCCTGGACTCCCTTGGATCTGGTGGCCTCAGTCCCTCTCCTTTATTGACCTCAGCTGGCTGAATCGTAGGTTCGTGTAGCTGAGAGAAGCCCTCTATTCCCCTTTTCTTTCTCCATTCGCTCGTGTATTTACACACACGCGCGCGCACACACACACTCCCAATTCGGAGAAGTTCAGACCACGCTTAGTTCCAGTGGATGCAAACTACAAGAATCTCTGAAATCAGTACGTGTTTGTTAAGAATTTATGGGGTGCCTGGGTGGCTCAGTCGGTTAAGCTTGGTGGGTTCAAGCGCGATGTAGGGCTCTGCGCTGACGGCTCGCAGCCTGGAGCTTGCTTCGGATTGTGCGTCTCCCTCTATCTCTGCCCTTCCCCCGCTCACACTCTGTCTCTGTCTCTCTCAAAAATAAATAAATAAACATAAAAAAAGTTATCAGACTGATGTGTTTTCTACCAGTCTTATTTCTATGTGTTTGTCTTATTTCAGTCTTATTTCTATGTGTTCTGTATTCCTACAGAAAATCATAGATATATGTGTGAATGTTTTCAAGCTATTACAAATATCCACAACTTCTTTTATTTATTCAAAAATGTATTTTGGAGTTTCTCCATATTAGTTTGTATAATTACACTTTATTATTCTGTTTCTACGGTTTTAACATCGTTTATTACTATTTAATTTTCTGGTTAAGTGTACTTCGAATCTAAAAAGTTCTCTTCTAGTTTTGGTTTGTCAAGAATTTTTGTTTTAAGTTGATGAGTATCACATGCTTTTCTTTGCTATTTACTGAGGTGATCACATAATTTCTCTATGTTTTTTTGTTAATGTATGAATTATACATTCTCAGATGTTACACCATCCTTGGATTGAGATAGCTAGATAGTTATGAGTAACACATTGGTCATACTCTATAGGTTTTTATATGCTTTTGTTGTCTCAAATTTATTTCGAAGTGTGTTATAAAATTTTCAGTGTCGTGGCTTGTTTGTAGTTTTGTTTTCAGGTTTTGGTGTTAGACTTTAGCTGACCTCATAAAATGGATTGAGAAGTATTCTCTTTTCCTCTACTTATGAAAAAAGACCAAAACATTTGTATAGGAATGGTGTTATTCCTTCCTTGAATGTTGATAGAATTCACCAGTGAAATCATTTGGGTTTGTAGTTTTCTTTGATAATGAATTCAGTTTTTAAAATTGAAGTACAGTTGTCATACAATATTAGTTTCAGGTGTACATAGTGATTCAACATTTATATACATTAGTAAGTGATCTCCATCAGAAGTCTGGCTACCATCTGTCACCATACAAAGTTGTTACAGGTTTTGAAATAGCAAGAATTCTTTTTTTATGGCTGAGTAATATTCCATTGTATATATTTATACCACATATTCTTTTTAAAAAATTTTTTTGTAATGTTTGTTTATTTTTGAGACAGAGCATGAGCAGGGGAGGGGCAGAGAGAGAGGGAGACACAGAATCCGAAACAGGCTCCAGGCTCTGAGGTGTTAGCACAGAGCCCAGTGCGGGGCTTGGACCCATTAACTGTGAGATCATGACCTGAGCCGATGTTGGACGCTTAACTGACTGAGCCACCCAGGTGCCCCACCACATATTCTTTATTCATGTTTTGATAATGGACACTTAGGTTGTTTACATATCTTGGCTATTGTAAATAATGTTGCAGTGAACATGGCGGTGCATATATCTTTTCCAGTTAGTGATTTTGTTTGCTTCGCAGCTGTGAAATTGTTGAAATGTATGGTATTTCTATTTTTAATTTTTTGGGGTAACTCCAGACTATTTCCCATTGAAGCTGCACCATTTTGCATTCCCACCAACAGTACACAAGGTTTCCCTTTTCTCTGCATCTTTGCTGACACTTGTTATTCCTGGTCTTTTTGATACTAACCATTCTGACAGGTGTGAGGTGATATCTCATTGTGGTTTTGATTGGCATTTACTGAAGATTAGTAACGAGTATCTTTTCATGTGTCTCTTGGCCATCTGTATGTCTTTGGAGAAATGTCTATTCAGGTTCTCTACCCACTTTTTAATTGGATTTTTTTTTTTATTGAGTTGTATCAGTTCTTTATATATTTTGGATATTAACCCTTTATTGTTTTATTAGTTGCAAATGTCTTCTTCCATTTAGTAGGTTGCCTCTCATTTTGTTGATGTTTTCCTTCACTGTGCAAAAGTTTTTTAGTTTCATGTAGTCCCATTTATTTTTGCTCATGGTGTCCTTGCCTGAGGATGCAGATCCAAAAAAATACTGCTAACACTGATGTCCAGGAGCTTACTGCCTATGTTTTCTTCTAAGAGTTTTATGGTTTCACATTTAAGTCTTTAACCCATTTTAGTTTAATTTCGTATGTGGTGTAAGAAAGTGGTCTAGTTTCGTTGTTTTGCAAGTAGCTCTCCAGTTTTCTCAGGACCAAATTATTGAATAGAATGTCTCTTCCTCATTGTATATTCTTATTTTCTTTGTTGAAAATTAATTGACTGCATAAGTGTAAGGTTTTTCCTGGACTCTAGTCTATTCTGTTGATCTATATGTCTGGGTTTGTGCCAGATCACACTGTTTTGATTATTATAGCTTTATAGCATAGTTTGAGATCAGGGAGTATGATGCCTTCTTAAAAATTATTTATTTATTTTTTTAATGTACATCCAAGTTAGCATATAGTGCAACAGTGATTTCAGGAGTAGATTCCTTAATGCCCCTTACCCATTTAGCCCATCCCCCCACCCACAACCCCTCCAGCAAATCCTCTGTTTGTTCTCCATATTTAAGAGTCTCTTACGTTTTGTCCCCCTCCCTGTTTTTATATTATTTTTGCTTCCTTTCCCTTATGTTCATCTTTTTTGTACCTTAAGTTCCTCATGAGTGAAGTCATATGATATATTTGTCTTTCTCTGACTAATTTCGCTTAGCATAATATCCTCTAGTTCCATCCATGTAATTGCAAATGGCAAGATTTCAGTCTTCTTGATTGCTGAGTAATACTCCATTGTGTGTGTGTGTGTGTGTGTGTGTGTGTGTGTGTGTGTGTATACACACACACACAACATTTTCTTTATCCATTCATCCATCGATGGACATTTGGGCTCTTTCCATGCTTTGATGTTGTTGATAGCTCTGCTATAAACATTGGGGTGCATGTGTCCCTTTGAAACAGCACACCTGTATCCCTTGGATACATACCTAGTAGTGCAATTTCTGGGTCATTGGGTAGTTCTGGTTTTAATTTTTTGAGGAACCTCCATACTTGGCTGCACCAGTTTGCATTCCCACCAGCAGTGCGAAGGAGATCCTCTTTCTCCGCATCCTGGCCAGTGTCTGTTGTTGCCTGAGTTGTTAATGTTAGCCATTCTGACAGGTGTGAGGTGGTATCTCAGTGTGGTTTTAATTTGTATTTCCCTGATGATGAGTGATGTGGAACATTTTTTCATGTGTTGGTTGTCATCTGGATGTCTTCTTTGGAGAAGTGTCTATTCATGTCTTTTGCTCGTTTCTTCACTGGATTATTTTTTTGGGGGGTGTTGAGTTTGATAAGTTCTTTATAGATTTTGGATACTAACCCTTTATCTGATATGTCATGGTCTTGGATTCTTGTGTATTGAGAGTTTTTTGATTACTGATTCAACTTCATTACTAGTTATAGGTTTGATCAGATTTTCTATTCTTGATTCAATCTTGGAAGATTGTATGTTTGTAATTTACCTATGTCTTCTGGTTTTTCCTATTTGTTAGCCTATAATTGCAGGATTTTTCTTATAATCCTTTATATTTCTGTGGTGTTCATTGTAACTTCTCTCTCATTTCTGATTTTATTTATTTGGGCCCTCTTTGTTTTTTTCTTGTAAGTCTGCATAATGATTTGTTGATTTTGTTTATGTTTTCAAACAACCAGCTCTGTATTTCATTAATATCCTCTGTGATCTTTATTTCCTTTCTTCTACAACATTAGTATTAGTTTGTTCTTTTTCTAGTTCTTTTAGGTGTAAGTTTATTTGAGATTTTTCTTGTTTCTTGAGATTGGCCTGTATTGCTATAAGCTTTCCTCTTAGAACTGTGTTGTCTGCATTCTGCAGGTTGTGGACCATTGTGTTTCCATTTTCATTTGTCTTAAGGTGTTTAAAAACATTTTTTTTAATGTTTTTAATTTATTTTTGAAAGACAGAGACAGAGAATGAGTGGGGGAGAGCAGAGAGAGAGACACACACAGAATCCAAAGCAGGCTCCAGGCTCTGAGCTGTCAGCACAGAGCCCAATGCGGGGCTCGAACTCATGAACCATGAGATCATAATCTGACCGAAGTCAGATGCTTAACTGACTGAGCCACTCAGGCACCCCTGTCTTAAGGTATTTTTTAAATTTCCCCTTTGATTTTTTTATTAGCCCATTGGTTATTAAGTAGAATGTTGTTTGGCCTTCATGTGTTTTTTGTTTGTTTGTTTGTTTTTTCCCCATTTTTTTTCTTGCAAGTGATTTCTAGTTTCATACTGTGTGGTCAGAAAAAATGTTTGATATTATTTAGTTCTTCTTAAATTTATTGAGACTTGTTTTGTGGCCTAACATGTGATCTATTGGGAGAGTATTCCCTGTACACTTGAAAAGAATGTGTAGTCTGCTGTTTGGGGATGGAATGCTCTGTATATCTATTAAGTCCACCTGGTGTAACGTGTCGTTTAAAACCACTGTTTCCTTGTTGATTTTCTGTCTGGATGATCTATCCACCAATGTCACTGCTATTATTTCATTTACTGTCAATTCTCACCTTTATGTCTGTTAATATTGCTTTATATGTTAGGTGCCCCTGTGTTGGGTGCATAGATGTTTATAGGTGTTATATTCTTTGGTTTGGTTGATCCT